ACAGTTGACACGTATCAAAATGGCGATCTATGTTAGAGTTGCATGCACAGTAATTTAAAAAACAGTATTGCCACATGAAATACAAATCTTTCTACCACTTTTTATAAAAATTTGCCAACTTATCATAAAAATATCGTAAAATTCAACAGTGGTCATAATAATGTGGCCAAGGTACAGTCGAATATTTTTCTCGTATTCGGCTGTAATTGATGAATTTTTACAACTACAATCACTTACAACTACGTTTACACAATTATAAAATAAGCTTTAACTTGATTAATCATATTGTAATAAAATGATAGTTACTATCGCGTTCTAGATAATAATATTTCTGACATTAATAAAATGATTTGTATATGTGTATGTGTGGGCATTTCGTAGTACGAAAAGTTTGTCGGCTGCACTAGACGACTTGGGATTTGTTCTGAGTACGTTTGAAGTCCGAAAGTAACCCTGCCATTCTTCGGTAGGGTAGCACTATTCAATGAATTCAGAATGCGTTTGGAGAGTCTCCAGCTCCTTCTTTGCCCACCCCTTTTTCCAGTAAAGACGTATGAATCGTCGTCGGATGGTTGCGGTTCCCTGAGCGTAGGACACTTTAGAGCTTATGTCCCCAGAATACGTAACGTGGGATTTCGGTGGCGCATTCTTTCTCATCCCTCTACCAACCTTCGTTCGTTTCACCTTTTATTTCACTGCGATTCTTTTGGACATTTCGGATATTAAAATCATCTTTCTCTCTTATGCAAACACGCCACATCTATCAGATGATTTATGATCATATTTCGGATAATTTTTATGTATCGTATGAAAATTATAGGTTTTAATAAATTAGGTTGTTATTATTGAGAATAGATGAAAACTGCCTGATAGAATATTTTACTGTATTAATGTAAAAATATAGCTATAATTTCTATCTATACATTACATCCAATACAACGAATATTTTACTTAGATGTTTTTAACAACAGTTTATATTAAATTAGAAAGCCATATTTTGTTGATCATTTCTGATTGTGACAAAACATAATTGGGTTTATTGGATGTTTGTCCTGGATTGTGTCGCAAACGAAAATGGGATGCATCGGCCACCTAAACTGCGCTTTACGACTGGTAGCGTCGTAAAACGTAATGCAAAACGTGCAAACGTTTACGAACCAACGTTCGTCGTACATAAATTTACACATCATAAGATTTCGGATTCACAAATGCATATGATACGTATTGTTTAAAAACCAATGATTTTAAATTTTATCGTAACTTTGGAATAGAAATTGTAAATTTCTAAGTGCGCGGTGTATTATGATTGATCTTTATGAATGTATGCATTCTAGCTCTTTTTCCGTATTTCATGTTATAGCATGCTGCATATAATTGCCTTTTTAATTGAAGGGATTGGCAGAATAAAAGCACAATTCTACTTAGCCCCTTTTTCCGGAGATTAGTGCAAATAAACAAGGAATTGATGTCGCTTATATTAATTAAATATGAACGTGTTTCGAATATTCTGTGGTGGTGAAAATGATATAATCTATGAAAAAAAAGGACATAAATGATTTAAAATCATTAATGAGATTTTTACCAGAAATTAAACGAAAATGGTACGACAATATAATGTGTTTTCATTACAACATATTTATGTTAAAAAATCTTACGAAAACTCATCAGATGATGATTGAACATTATTTCAATTTATTTTGTAACAAGTAAAAGTATAATGTATTTCATTTTGTATTTCTTCTAGAAGAATGTGAAAATAAAAAACATTTCTGCAATTCTTAGTTTTTTCTTTTTGTCGATTCTTACAATATTATGATCAATATTCGAAAAAAGGGACTAAGTGCATTTTTTAAATTGCAAATAACTTTTTAAATATTGATTATAATAGAGAAATATTATAACATATAACTTCTCAAAGACATCATATAAATATACATTTAATACTGTTCCTATTTGTTGTATAATAAAAAAGTAAGCAAGTTATTGTAATTTTTATCAAAATCAAGATTTTTTAAATTAGTTATTCCGCCCTTCAATTATTGTTTTGTACATCTTCTTTTATTATTGCTGTTATTTGTTTATTTTTTCTTATTTTTCTTATAACGTTATTAGGAACTTTTGTATGTGTTAGGAGCTTATTATAAATTTAATTTAACTTACAATCATTTATTATTATATGTTTGTATATATATATATATTATTACTTTTATTATAATTTCTCTGATAAAATAATATATATTTTTATCGCGAAAATGTTTTATCAAGTATAAAATACATTATTCAATAGAGATATAATAATAATAATAATAATAATTTATGATATAATAATATATCCAATATATGAGTTGATTGAGACGCTAAAAGTCCGTCATATACTCTAGGAAATTAGTCGCCGTACTCGTCGAAGGAATATACCTACAAACCTGGTCTTCTTTTTCTATCTTCACCACACCCCTGCTGATCGCTTTTCTTTCTTCGGTTAAGGGTGGCGTTGCCTCAACCTCACCCTGATCCGTAAATATTGGCGACCCCGTAACAGCTCCTCGTAAAAATCACTTGATTACAACCCCTCCCTTCATCACCCAAACATCGTTCATCAGAAAAGAACTGCAATGAAAAATAAATGCTCGTGCTTTTTTTAATAATTATCTAAAATATAGAAAAAATATTTTATTCTTGTATATATATAATTTTAATCATTATAAAGCTAGGAATTTTTTAGTTTAATTCTATCATTTTAAATTTTTGAAATAATTTGAAATAAATGGTCATAATTAGATTTAATAATCAGGTGAATTTGGTGAGTAATATAAAGTGATGATTACGAAGAAAACGTTTTTTTTTCGCTTCATATTTGAAAAATGAAAATAGCGTAGAAAGGAAGCTTAAGAGATCAATATTTTGGCTTTTTATTTATCATAGAAACAAAGTGAATTAATTTTTGACGTGATGAGAGTGCGGTTTTATGATTTTTATAAAAGTCGTAAAAAACTGAGATTGACAAGTTTACGAGTTTAAATACATTTAATTATATTGTTTATTAATTATAAATTCTGTAAAAAGTTCACAAATATCAGCCTTATTTTATCTATAAATTTGGTAAACAAATTGATTAAGCCTTCATGGTCAATTAACACTTCTAAAAAGTCACATGATGGGTACTCTGGGTTAAAATGACCCGACCCATCTTTAAAGTGTTACCAAATCGACAGTATTAGTTGTAATGATTTAAAAAAAATACAGTATATATAATTTCATCCTTTAAGAAAATGGAACAGTGGCGTTTTTGTGAAAAATTTAATTTTAACATTAAAAAAAAATCGTCAACATGTATTAGAATTTAGTGTGAAAGTTACATATACATCGTCTTTCACGCTAAATTCTAATATATGTTTACAATTTTTTTAGTGTTAAAATTAACTCTCAACACATGAGTAGGTCATTTGGATCCGGGTGAAAATTTTAGTGGGCTATTTTTGTACGGTTAATATTGCAGAGTTGAAGTAAGGGGGTAAAAAAACTTGGATCCTTTCTCTATCGAGCGCCATGATGCAATTGTTTCGTTGTTGTCTTGATGCTATAATTGTGATGCAATAAAAGTTTGCTTGGATGACTTGGACCCGTCAAATGTAAATTCGTCCGATTTTTGAAAATTCGTTTTTAGTAAGTGCCTCTTTATTAGTGCTGTATTCAAGTATATATGTTGTCTTCTTATAATTGAAACATATATTTATTGTTAAAAAAGCATTTTTGCAAAAGAGGCATCTTGGTGAAACGATCGCTCTATTTTCTCGGAGTTATAAAATCGTAAGTAAATAGTGTCGACATCATTATATATTTAATATAAAATATTTTCATTGCATTTTTTTCTTTTTTAAAGAAGAAAATAACCGACATACCTCCACTATTCTTTTTCCGAGCATGTATAATATAAAAATGCTCACTTCAGTCGCGCAAATAATACTTTTTGAAATGAATCAATATAATGTATTTTTTTTTTCTTAAAGTTCACGTTTTCCTCTTTTCAAAACATTACTTATTTTTATCCGTACCCTTTTTTATTATAAAGATATGATTTTTTGAAAAAAAACTTGATTATTGCGCTCTTTTCACAAATTGTTCTTTAATATTTTTTGGCATTACTTTTTCAATTATTATCAAAATCTTTTTATATTTTGATGTTTCGATTCTATACATTCTAGCATTTCACATTAAAAAAAAAAAATATATTTTCCATTGAGATTTGTGATAATTATAGAGCCAATCAAAAACGCCGTTGGTGACTTGGACCCAGACATGTAAATAAAGATTCTAAAACGAGACATGTAGTTGAGGATTAAATTTTTCACAAAATACTCGGGTTATTTTGACTCAGTGTGACCATGAAGGGTTAAAAAAAATGATTAAGGAAAACGTGTATCAACTACTTAAAAAAAATTAGGCATTCTCCTGCTCGTATACCGATCAAAAAATTATTTACCGTATTCGATACTTTTTACCTTACTTTTTGTGAGAATTGTGCGTGTCACTATAGTTCGATAACGTATATTGCGTTACCTACGATATTTTTTTCGGACGTAATAACAGCGCATAGCCGCTAGCCGCGCAACGCGTCACCCTCGATATTTCAATAGGCTGAAACTCGATACGATCTGATCGATAGTTCGTCCATATTGTTGCCACGGGGTGGGAACGTGCCATGTATATCGTTACGTTATGTAACCTGTTAAGTGGCTTGATGTTGTTACGGATTTTAGTGATTATTGCGTACACATTGACGGATAAATCTCGCTGCATTTCGTAATTTTATGTGTTGCGGCGCTTTAATTCGCTATTTATTTGTATTGTTGTGATGTGCATTAATTCACAACAACGATTATCATTTGTCTCAACAATATTATGAAAGCTCATATTTTATTATCTACTAATTTCGTAACGGGCACTTTCCTTATTTTTGATATTTTTTGGCGTCTAAGCCGTACGTGTGGTTTTTGTTTCAGATTTTTCTACTTGTATCACTTCTCTTTCTACGCGTATCATTATCGATTCAACGGACAATACAGCAGTTTGGCGCTAGTCACATCTTGGCTCTTTATACAGGTGAGTATATTTTGTTCATTTCATTACGCTCGAGAATGAGAAATAAATATAAGATCCATTGATTTTAAATCTTTATCTAAGTTTGAAAGATGTATCTCGATACGATCGCGTAAAGTATGATCAACGAAGAATGCGGTCAGGAATAAATTGTTTGATGAAAGTATGCGAATATAAGTACTTGGTAAGGCACAAGTATTTATGCGGTGTATTTTGGGATTAAAGTGGCGCGCCGTCGGATCGTGAAATAATCGTCTTCGCGATAAAAAAACTTCTACGGGAATAGAAAAGTTTTCTTAAGAAAAATTGCTCTTTTACGTTGAAACGGACATTGATCACGAATATTCCGTGACCTACTTGTGAATTTTAGTCGATATAGTTGGCCTAAGAACTTAGCAAAGAAAAAAATCCTTCAACAATTGAGCTGTTTAAAAATTGTATCGTACACAGTAAAAAACATTTTGTACTTATGTTAAAACGAATCCTTGTTAAAATTTTTATATTGAATTTTTAACATCCGAGTTTTAATTTAACATAATATGATTGTGTGTTATTTGAATATTTTATGATTATATAATTAAAATTTAACATTTCACAGTGTTAAAATAACACAATTTATAGGTAAGTAAACAAATAACATAAAAATAGTGTAGTTTTAAAACATAAATTCTAAGAATAAATGAATAAAATGTGTATGTTTATTTAATATATTATAAATGTTAATTTTACCGAAGAAATATTTTCTGCACAATTAGTTACATATTTTATGTGTAAAAAGATACAAAATTTAGTGTTATTTTCTCTTTGTAACAGTAAATATCTGTTAAATCTGTATATTACGTATGTTAAATATCATAGAGGTATCGTCTAAACTAAAAATGTAAAAATAGCATTTAAAATTTGAGTTAAATTTAACATTATAAATGTGTCAATTTAACATAAAATTTGTTTTTAAATTAAAGTATTACGCTTCTTGTGTTAATTTTTTACAATATTTTACATAATATTTGTGTTACTTTTTAATATATTCATCTTATGTTAAATTAACACAAAAATTTGGGTGGACCGTTTGGTACATGTGAAATGTGTTAAATTTGATACAAAATTTTTTTACTGTGTAGATATATACTTTTATCAATTCTTTCGGGATATAAGCATTTTACATGTAACATAGAATATTGTTAATTAAATGATATTTGATTTTTAGATCGATAAACGATCATTAATAAACGCTCTGTTTGCCTTTGAATAATTTATTCAAAACAACTAAGTATTGGGAAGTAAGAATAAATTAAAATCTATCAACATAAGAAAAGTGAAATTTTATATTGCTGTACTTTCTAGTATAAATCACATTTGAATTGAAATATTAAAGAAAGAATGCTGTAGACATAGATTATATTTATTATCCATGTGATTTCCATAAAATAAACGTACGCCTACAACATTAATCTTTTTCATTGTTTCCATATAGTGTTAATTAATATTAAAAACATAAAACTTTACTGTATCAAAACATATACTCTGAAATTTTATAAAAGAAACGTTGAAATAATTGAAAAAATATGCTGTTTATTTAAAAATATATATCTTTATATTTAATTCCTCAAGACTGAATAACGTTCATTTAATACGATTATATCGCAGCATTTATTATAAAATTACGTAATATACAACAATTGTGTATGTATAATATATGGAACTATCTTTTGGTTATCGATTATTGTAATTATATGTATGCCGAGCCCGTATAAAGAATAGAATGTGAGGGTCAGGTTTGTGACGCGAGTTTGCACTTGCGCCTTTAAGAATCGCGTCGAAATAGATGAGGGAAAATGGGAGCGTAATATTTTGCATGCGATCTTGTCGGCTACCGTTGAGAGTCCTGCGATTGACAGCAACCGTAGCAGGACGAAGAACGAGCCGTGCCATGGCCGTGGTCGCTTGGCTGGATAGCCTAAAGCCGCTATCGCTCAAACTTAAGTTACGTAAACGCAACCGGGACAATGCTCTTGACAGCTCGATCGATAGAAATAATTTAATGCGGCTTCTTGGTTCCTATATACAAATACGCATAAGGATACTTTAATGCGGGAATCTCGTTCTCTCATCGAGAAGGGCGTGTCCCGTTTCTTCCATTAAGAACGTAGTCCGTTTTAAGTAATCGTTAGTGAGGTATTGTCATTTTTCATTGGCTGTATCCCATTAGGAAATATATACGCTTGACCTTAAATTTTTTCTGATTTGCAATTTTGTGATTATTTTATTAATCATACTACTATTGTTTTCTATGGGCGAGCATAAAATTATTATTACTTTCGTTTATTGTCAGTATCGTATTACATTGTATCACATTCGTGACAAAATTTATATAGTGCAGATTTTTTGTTCTTTGCATTTTGCGTAATTTGACGTAGTTATTAGTTATAATTATATACGTTTCTCTCTACATTTAAGTGAAGTATCTATCGAGTTACAATAAACGATCGATCGTAATAGAACATTTGCTATAAGCCGCTGGAATTTTAGAAACAAATTTGCCTGCTATGCCAATAATACGGTGGGTAATCTGATTGGAGAGCGTACTTTGATAACGCAATAACTTATAATTAGATGATCGCGATGGCCGTATTAACAGGTATTATTATAACGGCGTTACGATAGATAGCCGCTACGTTAATAACTACATTCGATATGTACTGTGTACATTTCATGCGTAAAAACTGAATACCATTAAAGTTTAATGGAGTGGTTAATTCACTCGATAAAAGGTGTAAATGCATCACGATGCTGCATCATTACGCGCTGGGGAAAAAGATTACATTATTATGTCGTATTCGCCATTCAATTGTTGAACACATTTATTACACGATCATTTTTAGAATTATAGTCTATTTTAAAGAAGACTTATCGAGGCGGAATAATTTCGGATGAAATTAGTATACATTCTAAATGTGAAGTGTATTGTACGAAAAATTGCAATTCTTATTATATTGCTACAGTAAAAAAATTTGTGTATTTGTGTTGAAAACGGTCCACTCACGTTTGTGTTAACAGTTTGTGTTGAATTTTTTAACATATTCGAATGTTAATTTAACATAGTGTGATTATGTTATTTAAAGGTTTTTTGTGAAATTGATATTCAATGTTTCTTAGTGTCAAAATGACAAAATTTATGAGTAAGTGAACAAGTAACATAAAAATAATGTGCTTTAAAACGTAAATTCTAAGACAAATAAATGCAATATGTGTTAATTTAACATATCATAAATGTAAATTTTCTGAAAAAAAATTGTTCCCACAGTATGCTTGTAAACTGTGTCGATGTTATCTTTCTTTGTATTTATTCTCTTACATAATATTTGTGTTACCTTCTAACATATTCATCTTGTGTAAAATTAACTCAAAAATTTGAGTGGACCATTTGGGATATGCGATTTATGTTAAATTCAACACATTTTTTCTAACTGTGTATAAAATAAATTAATAGTTATTTCAAAATATAATCCATAATATATTTCGGATATTTCAGATTATATCTCTTAAAATTTAAGATTAATGTTTAATGTTATTATTACAATAAGAGCATTGTTTGTTCTTATTATTATATACGATCATTATAACATAGTATAATTTGATTCAGTTTTTTTTGTTTCATGATAAAAAAATGTGTTATCATGGTTATCGAATATATGTATTATATGTGACATAGCAATTTCTCTTATAAACGCATAGATAAAATAATATATCGGCACATTTGAGAACATAATCGAATATGCTTTACAAGTAGAGTGCGACTTAAGCCATTACGTCGATGATGACAGTCTTTGCTCGACAGGCGGATTACGGGTTCGTTAATATGATCGATGGCTTAACGAGCGACAATTATTTCCTGGGAACGAGTTCACGAATACCGCGCAGCGGCAAAATTCGAAAAGCCCGGGGGCACGTCGGCCGAGAATCGTTTTGATTCCCGGATGGCAAAGCTCTCGTCGGCTGTTGCTGTAGGTCAGAGTTCAGCCGATTAACCCGGCGGCGTGATTATACGCCGATTCGATATCGATGTCATTGGCGTTGATTATCCGCCAAACGAAAACTTGATATACTCGGATCCCGCTCTCGTTCCCGCAATCCCTCCTATATTCCACTCTCCGTCATTCTTTCCTATCCACCTTGAGATCCACTCCCGCTCTTCACCAATCTTTCTATCAGTCTTCTTTTTCTCAAACAGTGCGGAATCGTTCCGCTCTAGCCGACGAATCACCGAGAATACCATTTCCTCCGCGTCGTTGACAGGTGCCCAGACCCCGAGATATCTATTTTCCATATCCAGGATTTTTCTTCTCGCTCATCCACTCGTCACCTTCGCTCTCCAACATACACATTATTTGTTCATGTTAGATTTTTCAATCTTGAAAAGAGAAAGCATCAAAATAAATACATTTTTCATTGGTACACTTTGTTACATCTCAATTCCAATTGCACGAGGTACGTCGCTCTGTTTAATCAAGAGACGTCCTTAAACTATCTAATGAAGCAATAGACTATTTTTAGGAATAGAGAATTTGATTCTACGGCATATGCGTGAAGCTGCGTTATTGCGATCGTTACGATCAATACGGATCGGTAGAGACAAGGTTCGAAGCGATTGCGGAGAAAGAGAGCGCTGATATAGAACGAATTTGGCGAATTTCCATATAAATTTGCTAGGCGCGAGCGGCTCACATACACCGAACGAACGAGTGTATAGATCCACGTGTGCCGCGAGATACATATATCTCGCGAGATGAATTCTTGTTTTTTGTTTCTCCAACAGTGTCCGACATAGACGCGCGAGGAATGGCGAATTCTTGCGGCGACATACAAAGGACAAAACTCTTATGTGTATTATACAAATATTGTTTTTTTATTTATTGTTTCAGCACTCAATGTTATATTTCTTTCATCACTATGAGCTACCAGTGATTCTGCAACAGGCGCAGCTTCAACAATTGCTATTTCGTAATCATATTCAGCCTCAACCTCAACCAGCGACGCCCAACACGGCTCCAACTACCCCGGGTCCAGGATCGTCGCCGTCGTCGTCATCGTCACCGTCAGCGGCACCTTCACCTTCGTCGAGTCCGAATCCGTCGACACCTACGACGGAACAGACACAGCAAAATTATATTACCGAGCTTTCTCAGCTCGATTTAGAACCTAGCAATATAGAGGCACAACATACGAATGTGGATACGAATGCACAACAAACATCCATGGCAACGACGGCCGATCGTCGAGATGATTCTGTTCGAGGTACGTCGTCGATTTTAATATTTTTATCTGTTGGCATTATTTTTCATTGAACCACCGGCTACGAAATGATACTAAAAAAATGTGATTAAAAAATTTGATTTAAATTTAATTAGTGGCAATTTTTTAATATAGTTGTAAGCTAAATTTATATTTCTAGAAGTTGTTTTCCTTATATATATATATATTTATTTTTTATTTGAAAAGAAATTGTGAATGGATTAAGTAAAATTTAATTTCCTAGCGTTTTAAAAGAATTAAACGTATCATTGGATATTGTATATTTAATCGAATTTCGATACCCAACATACTGTTTCTGTAAATTTGTGTAGAGGAGCAAATTAAAATACATTAATTGTACATTTAATTATATGTACATATATACCTATTTCAACTTTTATACAACAATAGGAAAAAACTTTTCTCTCTATAACGCTTGCACTTGCACGAGCGAGTTTAATTTTATGAAGCATATTAGGATTTATACGTTATTAGGAATGACGAGAAAAGTTGTATACATAACATAATAGCTCAAATGACAGGCCGATAGAAAAATGATTCTTGGGGATTTAACCTGATATCAGAGAAATATATTTGAGTAATTTTTGAGATATCATATAACCTATTGTAATCGTCAATAATTCCGTGATTACGCATTCCGTATGCCGGTTCGTGAAACGCGTGCGTTTCATCGGTTTAGAGTTTTGAGTGAGCACTTTGTAGATCCTGTGTCACTGACACTCGTCGCTTTGGAGCGCCTACATAGTTTGGCACGCGATACCGCGCTATCGTGTTTCAATTCGACGATCCAACTAGCACTGATTATTTTTCTGGGCTTTTAATTTCACCTCTCGTTTCACGTTCGTGGCTCGGATAATCGATAATCGTTTTAACACGCGCGCGAGCGTTATGTCGGAAACCAGTTTATTTATAACTGTGGTTTGACTTACAGTTGCGCGCTGCATCACATTTATACTGTATCGACCGTTTAACTTTTATTACGGATATTTGTTACCATCTTTGATATAAATATATTTCTTCATGGCATTTGATATATAATAAAGAACAATCTTGCGTTAAATCGCAGTGTCGGAGGACACAACAGTGTCCGCCACATCGACTTCCGTTGCAAAGACGGAAGCGGTTCCCTCAGCGTCCAGAGCTACGAGTTCGCTCACCGATACTTCCTCCTCCGAAGGCTTCGAGGTCATTGAGTCTGCTGAGGTGGCGAAGGAAGCGTCTGTCGAAGACAAAAAAGAACATTAGACTTTGACTATGACAACTGCGTGGCAGTCAGAGCACAGAGTGTATCATTTTCGTATGACTGCTTCCGTTGAAAATTTCTTTTCACAGGAAATCGGCGCAATTATTTTGTCACAGAACTTAACTATAAAGCAGTATGGTCTCTCTATGTATGAGAATGCATAAGTTAACACGTGTTCGACGTTTCGATGTTTAATTTCAATAAAATGAGAATGAAGTTATAAACCGATTCTTTGAAAATGTCATAGGTATCACGCTTCGAGATCAGACCCTCTGCACTCTTCGTCTTTTGAAAATGTTAGAGAAACACCTGTCGGCGAAACCGCTAAGATTGCAATTTCTAAGTGCAACAATTAGGATGCCTCTGAATATTCTTTCATTTCTTTTTTCGTTCATTCCACACATGTACTATGATCTACCGGAATAGAGAAATGAGATCGTAGGTAGCAAGTATACTCACGAGTAAATTTTTGTATTGAACAAAGGGTTGTTAGAGAGGATGAGACTATTTCTTCGGTTTATATTATGATAAATGTATTAATTATACATCAATAATGTTCGATCAACCGACATAACTAAAATAAATAAATTCGTAGATGATTATCACGCGATCGATTGCAGCGTTTTCTCTTTTTCTCAATAATATTTTTTGATGCTCGATTACATTTGCTCGATTAGACTATGGCTTAAGAGATAATGGAATAAACATGCAGTCGAATTTTGACCAAGACGAATATTTTGAAATTACTGAATACTCGTGTAATGATGTAAAAAAAAAACTGTTTGGCTGCGTAAGAATTTCCTTGATATAAATTCATGCGTGGCTCGTAATCTCGCGCTCAATAGCAAGTCATTTTGATGACAATGCTGTATATGAGGACATAGCGAGTTACTAAATAGAATCGATAATATATCTTTCATATACCTTTATTTTTCTTTATCCATAGTATATTTTATAGCGTGTTTAGGATCGAATCTTTTTCGAATATTTTGCTCATTTCACGGGCATTTCTAACTCACTATTTTATAATTAACCAATTATTAATTTTACGCAGATTTAATTAGTTTAATTAGTTAAGTTGCAATTGTCACCTGCTGGAATGATAAAACGTTGCGAATTATTATAACGATAAAAAAAATGGGAAGAGAAGAAAATATATAAATCGGAAAAAAACAATTTTTGACGGAATCGCCGATGACGTATTCTCCACCTTGATGCGTTGTTACTTAAGATTAATAATAATCGTTATAGTGTAAGTTTACGCTATTACAATATAATTTGTCCGTTTCGGAGATTTGTATGACATTTAGTGATATATATTCCATATAATATCATTGGCAAGTGAAGTGGTATGTTTTCTATTATATGGACTGTGACATGTATAGAATATTGAAACAATTCATACAAAAAAAGTAAGATAAACTAGCACACACATTGGAGATCGATGTTAGTAACAAATGATGCGTATATATTTATCGCGTACTGTTGATGTAATTTATTGATCTTGGCATATTAGCGTATTAATAAATGATATTCTGAGCTAAGTGATATTTTGATGAATAACAATAATGAAGAGAAAAAAAAAACAATTGCGCAGAATTGTACAAATGTGCTCAGTTAAGACAGATACAAGGAAATTCGAAGAGAAGATCATTTAAGAATACTATCGACTGTAAAATCTCCAATTGCTTTTTGTTGTTTTTCGAGTTACATTTGTAGACGAGCGCTTCTGTAAAATATTTTTTTCCATTATTTACATATCGTATATATATTTTTTGGTTGTATATATTATCAAATAATATTGTTATTATGATCCCTATTGTGCTACTATTACTGCTGTTATTATTAGATTATAAATAAATGCAGAGATCTTATTCTATGTTTCGTCTTGATTTATTATCGATTCGACGTTTAACTCACCTCATCCCTATGCTATCGCGTCGCTTCGAACAGCACGGCAAATTCGAGATTTAAAAGCGATTCTTGCGAAATTGAAATTGATTGTTCAACTTGGAACGTAAGGCGGAGGATGCGCGGTGGATTGGGAGAACTGCGTTGGATTCCGTCCAAGTCGTGTGGATGGGATTGGCGGGGGAGGACAAACCGAAATAGACAAATAGACACTGGTATCCCTTTGAGGGAATCAAACAGGTGGCGTGGAATACGAAGATAACACGATAGAATGGAGAGAGAGAGAGAGAGAGAGAGAGAGAGAGAG